AAACCCAATGGAAGCATCTTGACTCCAAACTTCTTTTCCCTACCTTTCTTAGAATGTTCTAAATTTGTCCTCCCAGAGAATTCCACCCCTACGGCCCCTCCCCCTGTGTTGACAGAATGAAGCCATCAGACCCCTACTCATCTACACCAGTATGAATTAATTTAGTCACCACTCTCCCTAAAATTGTAGCATTTAACATTACCCACGGTGCCTCATAGTTCCTTAGATACTTTGGTAAGTCATAAATGGACCAAGGAATAGGTCTGAAAGTTAAGCCGTTCGAAGCTGGAACTCATCTTCATCGAGGCACAGTGGCTCTGCTCAAGCAGCTCTCGGGGGAGCACTGATCCTTAGGAAGGAGCTTTCACCAGGCAGGCAGGAAATCAACTGTTAAGAAGGTCAAAACTTCTCTGGGCTCAGGGCCTAGAGTTCTGGGGTTTTTGTTTTGTTGTTGTTGTTTGCTTTTGTGTTTGTTTTTTCTTTATTTTGAGATAATTTCAAGTTGATAGTAAAGTTTAAATCAGTAGAGCTTACAGATGCCCTTCATGAAGACCCACTTGACAATAAGCTGTAGACACGATGCCCCTTAATTTTCCTACGTGCACTTCCAAAGCACAAAGACACTTAAAATTGGGGACTCTAATTTTCTGTCTCATTCAGATTTGCTGGTAGTTTCAATCTTATTCTTTCTAGATACAGGGTCACTTGTGTGATTTTTTTTAAAAGATTTATTTATTTATTATGTTTACAGTATTCTATTTGCATGTATTCCTGCAGGCCAGAAGAGGGCACCAGATCTCATTACAAATGGTTGTGAGTCACCATGTGGTTGCTGGGAATTGAACTCAGGACCTCTGGAAGAGCAGTCAGTGCTCTTAACCTCTGAGCCATCTCTCCAGCCCTTGAGTGATGTTAATGCCATGTCTCAAACCAGGTCTCTTGTCTGAAATAACCTCTGGATTTCTTGGGCATTTTTGAAAAGTGGTTCATCACTATGTATACCCTCCCTCCCTGTATTTGTGGTGTTTCTCCAGGGCTTATGCATTTGGGTAATAAATACTTGCCTTCCTCACTGTATCAGGAGCACTAAATGGGAATTTGTCCCAGTACTGAAGATACTAACTTTTATGAATTGATTAAGTTGGAATCTACCAGCTCTCCACTTCTCAGTGTCTGAACTCTGTTGAATTTTATGAGATGATATATTGAGAATAACTATTTTTATATGGATTTTTGACACAAGGTTTTTGCTAGGGAGCCTGTGGAGCCCAGAATGACTTGGAGCTCACTATGTAGCCCAACCTGCCTCCTGCCTCACAGATGCAGGGATTACAGATGAGTGCCAGAACACCTGGCCAGCTCACGTAACTTTATCTACCAGATTTAATTCCCATTGATGCAAATATCACTGTGTTCACTGCCAAGTGGCACTTGGCTTATCTGTCTTTTCTAAATATATTAGTTGGCACTCTACTTACCGCGAGGTAGGATTTTCTCTTCTCCTACATTTATTTACTTATTTGTAACACAATATACTAATAAATTTCACTCAAAGGGTTACAAATATGATCCTCAAAATATTTATATAATTTTATGTTTTCTAGATTTTGCCGGTAGAGGTTATGTCCTCTTGACATAGTCTAATAGTTGGTGAACATTTCCTTAGTTGTGGCATTTCACAGTATTTCAGGCTTATCATATATACTATATATATATATAAAGTATGTATATGTGTATGTATAGTATGTGTGTGTTTCTTAGGCATAGAGTCCATAATGTCTCTCAAAATATCTTATTCTTTCTATTGGAAAATGCCATTTAGGAACTAAAATTTCAACCCCCAAAATGTGCCTCTTCCTACAGAAATGTTATTGCTGTAGGCTTTTGCATAGAACAATATTGAGGAATGTGTTCTATATACTGTGAGTGTTGTTGGAATCAAAATAGAGTAACTTGTTTCAAATACTAGCAAAAGAGAAGCTAACAGGTCACAAAGGAGGATTTCACATGGACATAAGCCTCATCAAAGGGCCACCACCAAAACCTCTGTCACAACCATAACTGTGCACAAAGGCCACCACAATCTTATACACACAAAAGACTTCTGCAAGGACACTTAGCTAGCTGTCTGTTTAACCTTGATAGTGACCTTATAGCCAAGGATTATATTTCAAAAGCAGTTTATGTGATCTTCCTCCTTTTGATTTTTAGATCCTGTTTTTTTCCTCCTTGACTATGCTGACTCCTCAGGATAGCCAATAAAATCGCATTGCAGTTTCCATTTTCAAATCTAGTGTCCTCTGAGGACCTCCCATCTGCCATTTAAGTGACAAGGCAGAGAAAGAGAAAAATAAGTAACTGTTTATGTACCTGTACATAAATAGAAACGATCACACTGGCACTTTGTAATCTAGTGCAGCTCACGGAGCTTTCTCTAGCCTTTCTCTTTCTATGCTTCTAACTCGGCAGCAGTAATGCCTGCCACTATCCTCAGGGCAGATACGGTCACCAAACTCCCAATGGAAAACGTCCTTCTCCACAACTTAAATCACTTTTCCTTTGTTCATGTATTGGAACATTTCTGCTGACCGGTCTTCAAGTCCACCCTTGCTCTGGTTTTCACTATGCTGTTAAGTCTACCCAGTAAGGCACTCACTTGAAATAATGGGTTATTCAATTCTAAATTTCTATTTCTTTTTCTTTCCTTCTCCCCCTCCCTGCCCCCCCCCCGCCCTATATTCATTGTGTCTGCTGAGATTTCCAACAGACATGATGCATCGGGTTGAGTGGCCCTACTATGCTTCTATCACCCTGGGGCAACTGACTTGACAGACTGGAGCAGCCTTTGGAAGGCTGGGTCACAGGCTGGACCAATCGAACGGCCATATGAGCTAGGTGGGGATAAGGCTCGGCAGGGCTGTCTACACTCCAAACCGGTGTTCAATGTACAGTCCTGGCTCTTCCGTAGTCAGGGCTCATGAGTCCAGAAATCTAGCCTAGCAACCAGAGCAACACTGCTCACTGCCTGGGTGTTACCTGGCAACCCCCTGGCAGGGAGTTTGTATCACCTGGTTTCCCTTTACAGGGTGCTTAATTTTGGACTGTCAGTCAATGAAGAACTGGTTGTTCCTCCTGGCCTGCCAGACTTTTATCATTTGTTTGGGCAAGTTTGTTCTGAGTTTTGCCCTTGGACTGGGAAAAACCAAGCCTAGGGGTGATTCTTACTCACAAGGCGTGGACTTCTGGATGCTACATGAGTGTGTGAGTGCTTGGACTCATCACACCGGGCCCAAGCTCTTACCAACTCCCAGTGCTTCTCAGTCATGGAGCAGCCTCACTTTTCAAGGCTTTAGGGAGACCAGACCCCAAACAGTGAACTTCTCTTCCCATGTCTCCCACTTCTTCCAGAATCCTGTCCAGCAAACAACAGCTGTCCATCATTCCCAAAGTCCAGGCTCTTCCTGTTGGGCTGAGTGGGACCCCTAAGTGATGCTCACCCCCACCTGTCAGTACAGCTATCTCAGTGTGGCTCTGCAAGTGCCTCCCCTACCAAAGATCCCAGTCCAAGGAAGCCTGGAACTAAGGCCTGCAGGCAATTGTCTTGTCTATATTGGTTCCTCAGCTTTATCCATGCTGGTGGTGAAGGCCCAGGTCCATATCCCTATTCCACTAGAGCAAAAGCAAAACTCAGATTCTTTACAAACTTTTTCCATGCTCCATTAGCTTGGTTCTTAGGTGTTTCCGTGAAGTTATGAGTTTGGTTTGCTTTTGAGTCAAGGTCTCTTATGTTGCCCAAGTTGGCCTTAAACTCCCTAGCATAAAAGGTTCCCCTTGCTCCAACTTCTGATTGGCCGGGACAACAGTTTCAAACCACAAAACCCACTTTCACTTAGCTCAGTTGTTGCGGCTGCTTCACAGGAAGGAGAAAGTGATAGCACCTCAAAGGGGCTCTAGAAACTTCAGGTGTTTAATTTTTTTCCTCCTCCCTCCAAAATCCCTGCCTCACCTGACTTTCATCATATCCATGAAGCCCAGGGACAGAAGCCTAGTTGAAGTTTTATACAATCTAATCTTATTTTATTTTTAATTTTTAAATTTCCTGTTGAAGCCAGGTGGTGGTGGCACATGCTTTTAATCCCAGCACTCGGGAGGCAGAGGCAGGAGGATTTCTGTGAGTTCAAGGCCAGCCTGGTCTATGGAGTGAGATCCAGGATAGGCTACAAAGCTATACAGAAAAACCCTGTCTCAAAAAATAAAAAAATTCTGTTGAAAGAGTTTTAAAGGAGAGGATACTAGTGTTTATGAGGTGGCGAAGCATCAGTTTAACTGCCAGGGCCCCTCCCCACAACAGCTACTTTTCTGCCTCAGCACCTACATGCCCAGCAAATCAACTCTGAGTAGTTACAGGACTGTGGAGCAGGAAGATCACTTCATGCCCTGGTTGATTTTTCTCAACTTGACCCAAACCTGGACTCACCTGAGAAGAGGGAAACTCAATGGAGATCATTCCTGTCAGAGTGGCACATAGGCAAGCCTGTGCAGGGAATTGCCTTGATTGACACTTTGTGTGGGAGGGCCCAGCTCACTGCGCACAGTGCCACACCTTGGGCAGGTGATCACGGCAAACTGAGCAAGCTGAGCAAGCTATGGCGAGCAAGCCGATAAGCACTGTACCTCCATGGTATGCGCTTCAGTTTCTGCCTCTGGGTTCCATAATCCTGGTGAAAGACTATGATGTAAAAGTGTAAGCCAAATAAGCACTTCCCCCCCCCCTAAACTAGCGTTTGGTTATGGTATTTTATCATAGAAATAGAAACCCTAAGATGCTTTATGAAATGATTTGATATTATAAAAGACATAGAAAAACGTTACTTGGGAAGAGTTCTGAGCATAAACCACTTTACTGTCTAAATGCATGCAAAACGGAATTATTCACGTGACTAAATACCCTACAGTAGAGACACCTCCGCCCTGCCCTCATAGTGTGCTCTATAGGGAGCTCTAATCCTCAGGACAGCAGGGCTGGGCGTCTTGAAGCGACTTCCTGCAGTTCTGATTGGCTCAACACCAATTGACTCTGTCCTGCTCACACCCTACAGAGACTCACACCCACTGTCTTGCCAGGCTGTCTGGTCACTACTCCAGAGGCAGGAGGGAGAAAAAAGAACGTGACGCCAGGAACAGAGACTGTTCTAAGTGAGTAGCTTGCCTGGTTGGGGCACTTCAGGAAAGGAAACATTTTAAGAATGTCCTTGAGAGGTGTTGGGCAGCCAGTCATCTTCTGATTTCCAAAGTCTAACCCAGCCTCTTGTTAATTTCTCTTCAGTCCTTGTCTGTTTTCCCATACTCTCGCTGGAACCAGTGAATATGTTCGTTCACTTCTGGATCTAAACAAACAGATTCTTCCTGCCAAATACTTTAAAGTATCAGTTAATCTCATGTTTCAAGGCAATTGAATACTTTACGGAAACCCAGCTCTCTGGGGAGCTGTTATTGCACTTTTTATGATGTATCCCTAAGGTGTCTATTGCCATGTGTAATTTCACTTGGCCTTGGACGTGGTTAACCAAGGGACAGTCATTTATGAAAGCAAATTAGATAGTTACTTACAGTGGAATTATAGCCTCTGCTTTTTTAAAAAAAAAAAAAAACTATTTGTTTTTGTTTATGCATGCATGTCTATTTGTCTGTATGTACACTGTGTTGTACTGGCAGTTGTGAGCCGATCGATCTGGGTGCTGAAACTGAACCCAGGTTATTGGCAATAGCAGCAAGTGCTGTTAGCTTCTGAGCCATCGTTCCAGCCTCCTGTGGTCTTGACAAGTTTAAAAGTGTTACATTAATCCTACTTATCTGGTTACGTGGATTCAGAATATCCAGAAAATTCACAACATACCACAGTGTTATTTATATGCATTTAATTTTTAGAAGACAAGAAAAGGTTTTAATAAAGGTTTTGTTACTTTTCTCTTTTGTGCAGGTGTATGTACGTGTGTGTGTGTGTGTGTGTGTGTGTGTGTGTGTGTGTGTGTATGTGTGTGTGTGTAGGGGTACACATGTATGTACATGAGTGTAGTGATCAGAGGTTGACATTAGGTATCTTCCTTGATCATTGTCAATAATTTTTCTTTTTTAGACAGGGCTTTTACTGAACCTGCAGCTCCCCATTGACTAGACTGGCTGACTGGGCACCCTAGGGATCCTCCTGTCTTTACATCCCCATCAGTGGACTTAGATTACAGGCTCATGCACAGCATCCACATGCATGCTGAAGACTGAACTCAGCTCCATGGTTATTCAATAAACACTTTACCCACTGAGAAGTCCACCCAGCTCTTTTTTTTTAAGTGCCTTTTTAATAGTTGCCAAGGTCACCAAAATTGAAACTAACAACTGGTTTCTGTGACAATGACTCATTGATGGGTCAGTCTTGTTCATTATACACTGGGTAGGTCGGGAGTAGTTACAGAACATCTCACATACCCTTGTTAAAAAATTCTAAGACAAACAGCTTTGAGGGGGCAAGAGGGAAACCTTCCTATAACAATTCATTTTGAGGAACTCAGCTGACTACATTTGGATGAAAGTTAACCAGCAGTCTAGCTCCCCAGGATGCAAACAGATGTTACCTGTAAGTGAGGAAGACAGTATTAAGGAGTGCTCTGGCATCAAAGCATTACAAATGCTAGGGAAACTTCAGGTCCATCCCACTGCCTGTGGGCTCAGGATGGCTAGCCAGACATAGATCATGAGAATTCCTAGAAAAATATAATTCATCACAACAGCTTAAAATGAAATCTCTCCAATCTTACATAAATTCCATTAGAAGATAGAAATCTTTCCACAAAGAAATATTAGGGGTTTTAGAGCTAAATTCTACTTGACATTTGAGGCTGAGTACTCTAAATTTATGCAAATTTTGCCAGAGAATTAAGGGGAAAAAAAAGAGAATGCCTCCAGCCGTTTTACGATGCCTCTCTGATATTACCTTCAAATGAAAGAACAGTGAAATGGGAATTCAGATTACACTCACGGAAGAGGTTGAAATACTAGGAACCAGGGAAACTAAGGGGCTTATCACTGAAATGCAGTGATCATTTGACATTGCAAAGGAACTATGGAACTAAAGAGAAATGTGATTGATTTCTCCTAACATTTTACACGCTATCATGCTGAAATCCCAATCTGGGAGCCACTATTATGGAAAGGTTTGAGACATAAAAGAGAAATGTAATGTATTAAAAGCTCCATCATTTACTGGGCCTGTCCAAAGATATATAAACCTTATATAGTGCCTGAGTCAGTCTGAGATGAAAAACATGATCATTTCAAATAATGTTCAAGAATATTTCATATAGTTCCACATCTACTTATGATCTAAGGGAAAACATTCACCAGAGTAAAACAATAAATTTAAAAAAACTATAGTTATTGAACAAAAAAAAAGCTATCACCATTTTTGAATGGTAAATTTTTAAAAAGGATTCTCCTTAAAATCAGAGACATCTCAAATATATTGTTTTGTATTCTTATACAGCTGTCAGCTAGACAAAGAAAGAGAAACAGGAACCAGTAAGACGGCTCAGGGGGAAAGGCACCTGCCAGCAAGTTTAACAATCTGAGTTCAATCCCCAAATCCGCATAGTAGGAGAGAACCAAGTCCCACAAGTCATACTAACACACACACACACACACACACACACACACACACACACACACACACACACACACATACACACACACCCCATAATAAAATTAAAAAGAAAGAAAAATATGTTATAAAACCTAGAGATAGAAAAGAATTGTAACTATCCTTAGGTTATGAGATTAAGAAAAACACGAAAGGATGCACCGTATGACTGAGGGGAGATTTTCTGAACTGCTGAAAACAAATCAATAAACATCATGTACTAACAAATAAAAAAATATATTTTGTTTCAAGAGAATTTTACCATGTAGCCCAGGCTGGCTTCCAACTCTTCAAACCTTCTACTTCTGCCTCTTAAATGTTGAGATTACAGGAATGTGCCATTTTACTCAGCTAGGAAATATTTTTACTATTTCAAAATATAATAATAAAGTACTTTTAATGTAATTGGAAATAAATCTAAGAAATAACACACAAGAAGTGCCGGAAGAAAACTACATTAATAACTAAATGTGTGGATTGACCATTTACAGTTAGAAAGGTTCAACTTGTAAGAAGTCATTTTTTTCTAAAAAGAATTATAGATTCAACAATATTCCTATTACTATATAAACTATCTGGAGCTGGGGAGATGACCCAGCAGTTAAAAGCACTTACTGCTCTTTCAGATGACCAGAATTTGGTTTCCCAAACCCATGTCAGTTAGCTAGCAACTGCCTGTAAACCCAGCCCCAGGGGATCTGATGTCCCCTTTTGTCTTCTATGGGTACTTGCATGCAAGTGCATGTATGTGCACATAGACACAGATATACATACACATAAATAAACAGAAAATAACCCTTTTTTTAAAAAAAGATAACTATCAAAAGCAAAAACAACTATAACTTGATCAAATTCTAAAACTCATGGAAAAAAGATGTAAAAAATCCCGAGTGGGCCCGTGAGATGTTTAGTTGGTGGAGGAACTGATGTACAGACTGATGATCTCACCTCAACCCCTGGATCCTAAAGGGTGTCAGGAAAGAGCCAATTCTTGAGCTTTGTCTTCTGGGTGTCATGCTTGTGCCTACACACCACACACACACACACACACACACACACACACACACACACACACCACACACACACCCCAATTTAAAATTCAAGCATAAAGCTGTCCTGAAAAAGAATAAGGGAGTGATGAGAAGGTATCCAGATGTTTCATAGCTGTGCAAAGAACGCTGCTGTTGTTGCAGAGGTAGGTGGCTAGAGCCATGGAGTACAACACACTTTCAGACACAGAACCAGAGAAGCAACAAAACACACCACAGGTCCCTGGGGAAAAGAAGGGCTATTTTATAAAGGTATACAGCATTATTTTGTCCACAAATGAAAAAAAAAAATCCTTCATGGTTTAAAGACTTTAATGTTAAAGGCAAAATATTTTTTTAAAAATTAAAGGAAATGGAGGAATATTTTTATCACTTCAAGGTAATTTAAAAAAAAATCGTTTTAGGAAAAGATTTCCTATGCCGGGCGGTGGTGGCGCACGCCTTTAATCCCAGCACTCGGGAGGCAGAGCCAGGTGGATCTCTGTGAGTTCAAGGCCAGCCTGGGCTACCAAGTGAGCTCCAGGAAAGGCCACAAAGCTATGCAGAGAAACCCTGTCTCGAAAAACCAAAAAAAAAAAAAAAGGAAAAGATTTCCTAAAGGCATCAAATCAAAAGAGAGACGACTGATAATAATAACTGTATTAAAATGACAACTGTCTGTCAAAACACAGGCAGAAAGAAATTTAAAAGGAAAGGTACAGACTGAAAGACTACTTACAGTGGATTTAATTGATAAAGCAATTAAATACAAATAAAAGATAAAGATATTTATGATTCTTGCAAATAAGAAAAAAGTTCATCGGAAAAAATGGCCAAAAACATGAACAGAAATTTTGTGGAGAAGTAAATGTGAGCCATTTACAAAGATATGAAGATATGATCAATTCATAAGCAGTTATAATGAAAATCAGGACCAAGAAAACACCAATTTATTTCCAGTAGTTTTGAGTGTGAAAGAGATCCAATGGTAAGTGTTGCTTGGGGAACCAAATGTCTACAATGACTTACAAAAACAATTGAGCTCTATCTCACAAAGTTGCATATTTACACAATCTCTAAGCCCGCAGTTTCACGATAAGCAGAAGTCTTTGGCAAAAGCTCTTGCATAGGAACCAAAATAGCATGTCCTAACAGCCAAAGCTAGACCCAAGTCAGACGATGGTGGACAGGCGAGCAGCCAGATCCAGCAGGGTTCCCTGTCACATTAGATTACCAAGCCCTAGAAAAATAAAGGAATGCGCCATTGAACTTAACACCCTGGTTGGATCCCAAAGACATTACAGCAAGTGGAAAACAGGAAGTTTTCCAAGTCAATCATATTCATGACTCCATGTCTCAAAAATAAGTCACATGGAACAATAGATTCATCGGGAACTTTTGCATTGATGACAAAATAAAAGTCATTGTCTTAAAAAGCTGGTGAACGATGACATAAAATTCCAAGGCACAGTTACTTCCAGATGCCATGGTGTTGGCAAGGGAACTGCTGGGGGAGGGAAGAGGAACTCGGGCCCGTCCAATGGTATCAGCAGTGATCCGTTTGTAAGCTAAATGTCACTCCTGGTGTCCACTTTGTCTCACAAATTGTGTATATGCCACACACCACACATTTTGCATTATCTCAAATGCATGGAAAGTACTTTTTAACAAAAAGAAAATGTCATATTTGTTAAAAAGTAAAAGGGAATCTAAATTTGAGTTACAGGAACAGCTTGCCACCATTGAAATATAATGGAATTTTGCTGTTGCTTAAATTGACATTTATAAACTACTATATGCATTATGCCATCCCTTACCCATTATGACAGTGAAATATCTACACAGCTACTATTTGATGTACTAATACAACTAGCAATGTTTAGGGTTTGTGTCCCAGAGTGAGTGTATTTACTTATTAGAAGAGTGCATCAGAATTTTAACATCTTAATATTCTTCCTCTTTGAATGACTCATCTTTTATTAGATGTACTATTAATGACCTTTATATTGTCAGAGCCAGAAGGAATTTAGAAATTGGTTGATGCAAGTCTCTCTCCTTAGGAATGAGCATTATTGAGATCCTTAAAGACAAAGCAACTTTTCAAACACAGAGATGGCCAGAGAAAAGAGGATGGTTCTCTCAGTGTAGACCTGCTTCTCTTGTTCCCAAGGCTCATTCCCTAGCAGTGAACACCGGGCAGAGGGGACTTGGGGGTGAGCACATCTGACGCTCACAGAACTGTCACTGAGGTGTCTTTCATAAAGACAATGCGGGATGTGCTCTCTCACAAGAGCAGAGGCAAAGGGAAGAGGAAGAAAGGCAGAAGGCTGAAGACACCACTCCTGCCCTGGGAAACAGGAAAGGACACTACAGGACAGTGGTCTCAAGGGAATCACCATCAATTAATCAACACATGGACTCCAGGTGAATTAAGACACACTAGATCTTCCTTTGCCTCACTCTTAGCTGTGGAGTGGTCTCTGCAACCCCTAGAGATTCAGCTAGAACGCTGGAGTCTAAGGTGATGGCTGGGACAGAGATGAGAAGATAAACATGTCCACATCAGATACCAACAGACAACTGAGCCTGCTTTTGAAAAGAGAAGGCAAAGGGTGGTTTAAAAATGTAGTGAAACCTTTTCTTCCTCCCAGAGGTGAATAAACTCAAGTTACATTTTTCCAAACATGCTTTTGTTTTAGACTCAGTAGTCTGAATGATTCTGCAAAGAAAGTGTGTTGTTATAGGCCAGGTGTGGTGGTACACAGCCAAGTGGGATGTCAACACTTGGAAAGGAGAGGCAGGAAGATGGGAGTTTATGGTCATCTTTGGCTACAAAGTGAGTTCAAGGCTAACCTGGGCTACCTGAGAGCCAGCGTCAAAAACAAATTGAGGCTGGGGAGATGGCTCAGCAGTTAAGAGCACTGGCTCGTGATTCAGAGGACCTGTGTTGGATTCCTAGCACCCTGGTTCAGAGCCCTGAGCAACTTCAATGCCAGTTTATCCAATGCCCTGTTCTGGCCCCCAGGACACCAGGTGTGTGTGTGGTACACAGATGAAGAAGCAGGCAAACCACTTTTACATACACAATTTTTAAAAACTTTAAGCATGTTATTTAAAAATTTTTCATTCTTGCCAGGTGGTGGTGGCACACACCTTTAATCCCAACACTCAGGGGGAAGAGCCAGGTGGATCTCTGTGAATTCAAGGCCTGGTCTACAGAGGGAAATCCAGGACAGGCACCAAAACTACATGGAGAAACTCTGTCTCAAAAAAACAAAACAAAACAAAAGGTTTTTTAAAATTCTCTTTTAGTATAGTATCAAAAATCTACTTTAATGGCATTGTGTACAGTATGCTATCAAACATCTACTTTAATGGCACTATGTAAAATGCAGTCTGCTACTATAATGTCCTATATGGAGTGTCACATTCTTATTCTTTATTTTTTTCCCAAGGTTAAATGGACTTGAGAGACCCAACATGGTAGGCACTAGGCACTTGTGGCTTCTGATCACCTTAAATGTGGCTAGTTCATTCGAAGGGCATGCTGGTAACACTAGATTTCATATACAAGGACAGAATGTGGAATATATCATTGATTTTTATTGTGATTACACCTCAAAATGATAATGTGGTGATCGTAGTCGGGTCAGTAAAAGATACTATTAACACCAATCCCATCTGCTTCTTTTTCCCTTTCATAGTGTGGTTCCCAGAAAATTAGAAATTACCTATGTGGTTCATCTTGTATTTCTGCTGAAGAGTGCCATGTTAGAAGCCCGGGGTTTGTTCATACCAAGCTCCAGTTGTGCCTGTCTTTAATTTTCTTGTCATTAAGTGAAATTTGGAAATGATGTTTTCCCTACGGATTCTGATCAGCCTCTGGGCTAGCCTGTCGGCCTGCATCTCCGGCAATCAGCAAGCAGTTTGCTCCATAAGTCTCGCCTAGTGCCTCCGAGAATTCAGCTGACTTGTAAAACTTCCCAGCATTAGTGAATTAGCTGCCCGCTGATGGCAATAATTGCATTCTATCTGGAATACAGCTAACTGTCAACAGTTTTCTTCATTTTCTGCTGTCTAGTTTGGTTTTGGACCAAGAGAGAAACATCTGTGGAAGCGGATATAAAAATAATGAGTATTTATGCAATTAATCACTGTGTGTCAGCTGCAGCTTGAAACAAATAGCAATACTCTGAGAAACAGCCACGGGGACTCTGCTAGGATTCCTGAGCAGGCTTTGGCACAACTTGTGACCCATTTTATTTCTGGGCCAAACCAAGTAACACAAAACACCGCTTCACAACTTTAAACACAGGAGGTGCGTACATACTGAATAAATAGGAAAATGCTTTAAAGAGAGCTGAATGGTAAATATAGTGTTGGTAACTTAACAAGTGGTAATCTGTTTAGCTTTTCTTATTTATTTATACTTGGAAAGATTTGGGATAGAAGGGCACCATCATTAAAACCATCTATTAAATCCCTGTGTCATTATCCTACACATCATATAGGTTGAGAGAGAGAGAGAGAGAGAGAGAGAGAGAGAGAGAGAGAGAGAGAGATCCAAGATCCAAATTTCCAAGTTTCACATCCCAGGGGGACAAATGTTCATTTTATTTCTTCCATGTTTCAGACTCTGAGAAGTGTCCTTAAAATTAAGGTCACAATGGAAACAATCTATCTCTAGACTGAAGGCTGAGAAGGATTTCCAAATGTCTTAGGGAGGGAAATGAAAATTGGATGCATTTATATAAAGCAAAATAATTTTTCTGCTTTTCAAGCAGTTTTATTACAGCACATGGCAATGCTTCTCACAGATCTCCCTCGCTGACTAGAGAACAAAGACGCAGACTCTGAAACCCATGTGGAGGAAGGCAGGACCAGCCGGATCCTTGGGGACACATCCATGACTCCAGGAGGCTGACAGAAGAACAGAAATGTCACAGAGAAGCAAAGTGGAAGCCTGGAGTGCCCAGCACCGCTCAGGCCAGGCATGGTTATTGCCATGAGTGCCAACCGATAATGGACTGAGAACACTATTGGCTACAAAAGGAGCTCTCAAGAGTAACTTAAGAAGAAAAAGTCTGTGTTAATCAAAAATAGTATTCAAATGTTTCTAAATTTTCTTTATTTGTTTATTCTTTTCTTTCTTTCTTTTTTTAAATGAGAATGGAACCCAGGGACTTGTGCATACTAAGCAAACACCCCATGCCCTCCCCCCAAAGTATTAAGAATTTAGCTATTTCAAAGGATATGTTTAGAGGGCTGGATAAGAGGATGGACCACCCTTACAGAGGACACAAATTGGGCTCCCAGCCCACATGCCAGGTGGCTCCCAACCACTTGTAACTCAAGCCTCAAGGGATCAGACACTTCTGGCCTCTGTGGTCACCTTCACACACATGTACATACCCACACACAGACGCACACACATATACACATAAGGAAAAATAATAATAAATCTGGGCATGGTGGCACACACCTTTAATCGCAGGACTCGAGTGGCAGAGGCAGGCAGATCTCTGTGAATTCAAGGCCAGCCTGGTCTACATAGCAAGTTCTAGGCCAGCCAAGGCTCCATAATAAGGTCTTCTCTCAATAAATTCTTTAAAAGTGTTTATATCCCAAGGCTTGTTGGGGTGTTTAGAAGAGACCCAGAGGGTCTCCAAGTGATCCTTCGGGTAAAGAGACCCCTGAAAAAGAGTAAGCATCAGCCTGTGATACTGTGTGGGGTTCCAAGGTCCAGTGTCTCTGTGTACAGCAGATGCCCTAGCCCCCTTGCTGGACGACAGCAGCACAAATAGGACTCTTCCCTGTAGCTCTCTTCACACTGTCACAGCAGCCTCCAAAGGAGCAAGACGGCATTGATGATGGGGTTCCTTGGGCTGGCCAGTATTTGGAAGCTTCTCCTGGCCCAGGGATCCTACTTGGATGCAATACCGCTCTCCTAGTCTGTGGTTCTTTGTAGCATGGGAAGTCACATACTGCAAAGCAGTCCTGGGATGAGTCCAATAGGAGACCAGCCATCCTTCCGCTTATTCAGATGTAGTTCATCATCCACGGGCAATAAAAATTGCCTTTACATGAAGCATGGGTGACAAGCATTCAGTCACAAATGTTAAGAAGCAAATGCAGTGTGGGGTGTCATGAGACCCACGCAACAATGGAGTAGAAGAGAAAACATCAGCACATGTGCACAGTCACTAAGGTTAAACGATCTGTTTTGAGAATCTATCGCATTCTTATTAATTTACTGCCCTGGTTAGGGTTTCCATTGCTACAGTCAAACACCACGACCAAAAGCAAGTTGGGGAGGAAAGGGTTTATTTGGCTTACACTTCCACAGAGCTGTCCATTACTGAAGGACGTCAGGACAGGAATTCAAACAAGGCAGAAACCTGGGGCTAGGAGCTGACACAGAGGCCATAGAGGGGTGCTGCTTACTGACTTGCTCTCCTGGCTTGCTCAGTCTGCTTTCTTATAGAACCCAGGACCACCAGCCCAGGGAAGGAACCACCCGCCATGGGCTGGGCCATCCCTCATCAATTGCTAATTAAGAAAATGCCTTATTGCTGGGTCTTATGGAAGCATTTTCTCAGTTGAGGTTCCCTCCTTAGCCAGCATATTCATCAAGAAATATACAATAAAATACAATTAAGAGGAAACTAAACAGAATTTTTAAAAAGTGAGTGAGCAAGAGGGTGATGTGGGTCATTGGGCCAAAGTGCATGCTGCACAAGGCCTGAGTCCAATCCCCATAACCCACATGAAGAGGGAAGGAGAGAAGAACTGACTTCACAAAGTTGTCCTCTGAGCTCCACACGCTCACCGTGGGATGCACATGAGCACATAACATCATACATACACTCCAATAATTTTTTTTTTTAAAAAGAAAAGGAAGCATAGTGTTCAATGCATGGAACAACAAATTATTTGGTTGTGGCTTATCAGGACACGTTTACTGGCTCACAGCAGGTTACCATGACCCTGCTCTCAGCCTTTCTCCTGTTTTATTTCTTTTGACACTGAAAGTCAAATGCTTCTGAAGTGATAGAGTAGCTGCTGCTGGAAGACCAGGCAAGCAGCACCACGAGTTCTGTAGTTTGGAAAGGCATTTTTTTTAAAAAAAAAAAAAAAAAAAAAAAAAAAAAGGTAAAATACCCAGCTTCTTGAGGGATGGGTCTCGAGATGTAGCCTAGAATCCTGGCAAGGCAAGCCATCCTTAAGATACAGTGGAAGGGTTGGTGGAGCAGTCAGAGGTACCCCAGCACACCCCCCCAGGTGGGGCATTGGCATTGCTCTTGCTTTGGGCACTGTAGCCAAATAGCACAGTGTTGTGGGATGTCCTGTATGCTGTAAATATATGTTGCTATGATTGATTGATACATAAAATGCTGACTGGCCAGTAGCCAGGCAGAAAGGATAGTGTAGGTGGGGCAAGGAGAGAGGAGAATGCTGGGAAGTGGAAGGCTGAGGCAGACAGATGCTGCCAGCCACCGTCATGGGGAGCAGGATGTAAAGTACCGGTAAGCCATGAGCCATGTGGCAAGGTATGGATTTATAGAAATGGGTTAATTTAAGATATAAGAACAGCTAGCAAGAAGCCTGAGCCATTAGGCCATAACATATACATGTACATATACATATATGTGTACATATACATACATAAATAATATAAGTCTCTGTGTGTTTGCTTGGGTCTGAGGGCCGCAGGAGCCAGGCAGGAACAGGATAACTTCACCTACAGCATGGTTTGTGCAGAACTAAACCAAGAGACTGTAGAAGGTAAGGATTAGGAACAAAGAATCTGTAGTCCCTGTTCAGAGCCACACAAGTAACTTTGATTATTTATGGAAGCTATGTGATAGGACTAAGAAACCTATCTTTGTTCCTTGAGATATTCTCCATTCTTGCTTCCTATCACCAAAAGGGAGAAAAAAATAAATAAAAGCAGAAAACAAAGCCAATCAAACCAATCCCTTCTCCTTCCACATTCCTTCCCCTAAGGGACCAATCCCTCTTCCCTGCCTTAAATGCATGGGCAGCTTTCTGCTTCTTGCCTACACCGACATTTTGCATCTCTACAGCAGATGAAATAGATTTATTTTTCCATAGTGTGTAAATATTGAACTAGTCAAGGAACTTTTTAAATATGAGAATTTCCCAACAATATTTAAGTCCAAACATCTTTGATGTTCAAGCCTTAAGAGATCTATCGGAAGGTCAAAATGGGGATTGAAAGTAATTTAGGCAATCAGTATGAGATACTAGATGCCATGAGATAAATCCAATGTATTGAGATTCTGCCAACCTTCATACTCAAATTCATACATTTTTTATTACCATAGGATGTGTGTGTGTGTGTGTGTGTGTGTGTGTGTGTGTGTGTAGAAATACATGGATTATGTGTTCCATCTTTTAAAAGCTTATGACTTTATAGAATACACAATCATCAACAAAGAGGCTGTAGGATTTATAGCTCCATTTGAAAAAGGGAGATAAGTAAATACTTCCAATGGGATTTTTCTCCCAGGAAAAATGTTGTCTCCTCAGATATAAAAAAAATAACCAATCACCTTTTTAGCCTAGATGGCAGGAAGGTAACTCAAAGTTTAATTACAAAATAAAGCCTAATCCTGAAAATTTTGATTCCCTCTTCTTCTTTAAACAATTCCCCCATGTAGAGGGGTCCATCCCATGATGTAGGAACTATTTAGGGTCTGGAAGAGAAGACCGATACGTACTGTAGCTCTGAACAATTTTAAGGTGAAGGGTTTAAACTTTGCACTTTTACAACTAAATTTAGGTTTCAGTTCTCTGAGTGGGGCAAACAGGTGTCTCTCCCAACAAAGGGCCATTTATTAACAAATGGCATTCAGGGATGAGGGAGAGAGCACAAACAAGGCCTGAGTCAACCACACAATGTCTCAAGGACAGTTCCTGCAACCCCCTTGAAACTTACCCAAGTATGTCCAAAGATAAAACTTCAGCCAACTAAAAATATACTAGTGTAACTGATGCTTGCTTAACCAGTTGTGTTTAAGATATCCTAACCATCCCTAAAATCCCTCTAGCTGTGCTTAAAAGTGGTCTGCACATGTCTCTCAGGGTCATTGCCATGTTGTACAGGTGAACGACCCCCCCACATATGCTGGTAAATAAACTCTCTTTGCTCTTGCACACTATTTGAATCTGGGGTCTAATCTGGGGTCTTCCTTCAGCATTTTCTCGACCCTTACAAGGTGCTTTAACAAGGAACAATATACAAAAAAAAGGACTCAAAGATGTTATACAAGCAGAAGAAAAACTTCAATATCAACTTGTGCTTCTCAGTGTGACCTCAAATCCCATGGAGACATTAAGTTTTAATGCAGAAGACAATTGTTATTTATTCAATTTTATCACTCATCAGTTCCAAATTACTTCAGTGAGACACGAACCATGAAAAGAGGGGAAATGGAACTGATTTTTTTTAAATTCACTTATGAAGGAACTTTACTTTCAATGTACCAACAAAAAAAATCTAGGTTTTGGTAGGAAATCAATTTACACACGGTTCTTACGCAGTAGTGCCCTTGAGGTTAAAACCTTTCATCCTGGAGAAAAACTCAATATGTGCAATGTTAAAGGGGAGGTAAAACAATGGGATATTTTAAAACAAAATGTCTGCAGGGAAGTGAAGCAACAGGATTTTTCTAAGGAAAGGTGAAACATTCCATATTGCACAGATGTTCATTAAGACAGGAAGTAAACAACTTCAAATAGCTTCAGGAAGTCCCTGAAACTGATCAGATTCACTAGGTCCCTCCCTCCTCAAGGTGCTATATAAGCAGTAAAGACTGCCCATAGACACTGGAAGATAAGCCTAGCTGCTTGGGAGAAGCAGAGACCATCTGAGATGCCCAGAAGACTTTCAGGCAAGCTGAGCTACCGTTGAGAGGCTCAGACCAAATGAGCCACCTGGAAAGAAAGCGGTGTAACCCACAAAGCTGCTTGCAAGTTGTACAATAAGCTCTAGGTTTCCAGCTGGGTGAGCTGTCCGCCATGCTGCATTGGGCTTTGGTAATGCAGCCATCTTTGAGTCATTTCTACTCCTGTAAATAACCCCTCACCCATATTCCTGTAAGTAAAACAAATAAAACTCATTGGTTCACCAAGTTAGACTTTAGTGACGTTCATACTTGGTCTGTCACCAGTTTCCTGTCTGGGGTGAAATGCTTGTTCACATATCCCCAGGCATAGTGTCACACAGCAATAACATAATAAAGTTCTTTTCCAGAGTGACTTTTTAAGAATATGTGAAATGCTGGGTTGGGTGGTGGTGGCACACGCCTTTCATCCCAGCACTGGGGAGGCAGAGGCCAGTTCGAGGCCAGCTGGGTCTACAGAGCAAGATGCAGGACAGGCTCCAAAACTACACAGAGAAACCTTGTCTTGAAAAAAACAAAACAAAACAAAACAAAAAAGTGAAACATTTAAAAACATATGTGACGATGTGACTATCTTATCATGGTTTCTGTTCATTTTCTCTTGTTTTACAAGTCAGTGTCTCCTTCTATAGCTCAGACCAAGCTTGAACTTTCTGCCCTTCTGCCTGAGTCCCCTAAGTGCTGGGATTACCAGTGTGTGCTTCTATAGTGACGATGGTTTTAGTTTATATCTGGAATTGTGCAAGCAAAATTTCTAAAAAAAAAAAAAAAAAAAAAATTGCCTCACTAAATTCAGGGTACCATTCAGTGGTCATGTCATTTTGCTAAAGGAGACATATCTTAACTGATTTAGCACGTGAAAGTCTCATTTACAGTTGCAATAATGTATTTAAGCAATACACCTCTGCCTGGGAACTTTGCATGGTGCATGATGCTGGAGTGAAGGGTTTACAAAAGATATCAAACTGGAGTTCATAGAAAAATACTACTAAAGCTGATACGACCAAATAGTTTACTCTATTAGCAATCAACAAATACACAGGACTAAAAAAAAATAGAATATTTACATCACAAACATTTTATAATATAAATGTGTAAAGAATGAGAATTTACAAAACCCCTGTAAAGTGAAAAATGTAATTGGGAGGGCAAGAGATTCAGCTTCGGTGTTTGGTAATTTGGACAGCATTCCTAAGATGTTCAATCTATTATTGTAGCTAGTAATTAGTAATTTAAACAGGAGCCTGTTTTTCTGAGGACATCTGGGGCTCTGAGACAGTTAAAGGACACATATTAAGACTCCTAGGATCTCCCCTTGGTGGAGGAGGAATCTCTTGGAGTTGCCTGATCCTCAGCGTGAAGCTATTCACAGCATGGAGTTGGAAGCCTTCTAGACCCGCAGAGGAGGGAAGCTAGTATGGAGCTCTGTACCCACACTTATGGATAACTGCCTCCCTGCGACCTTGGCACTGGAGACTGCCTAACTTCTGCAATGTGAGTATTAAAATGTTCCGAGGCCTAGGAGCACAGTTCAGTGGAAAAACATTTGCCAAACATGCACAAGGCCCTGGGTTCAAACTACAAGACTCAAAAATCAGTGAATAAATTAACATTAAGAATCCAACTTTCAAGCCAGGCAGTGGTGGTGCATGCATGCCTTTAATCCTTGGGAGGAAGAGACAGGCAAATCTCTGTAAGTTCAAAGCCAACCTGGTCTACAAAGCCAAGGCTATACAAAGAAACCCTGTCTCAAACAACAACAACAGAGCAGAAGAATCCAACTTTCTTTAGTAATATGAACATCACAACATGAGCCGCAAGTAGGTGAGATAGTACAGTCCTGTAATCCCAGCATTTGGGAAGTGAAAGCAGGAGGTCAGCCATTTGAGGTCATCTTTGGCCATATAAGGAATCTGAAACAGGTTTGAGCTCCACGGGACATTCCGAAAACTGGAGGAAAAGGGAATATGCAATGCATTATAGAATGAGAAGAAAAGTGATAACCCTGGAAACCAGAGCTTAAGGATTTTTTTTCCAGTTTCTTCAAAGTCTGTGAAGAAAATCGGTCATGAAATGTTTAATAACATATTGCTCTCCCAATGTTTACTGACACCCTCTTTAAGAAACATTTTGTCAGCCATGCAAACCGTCATTTTTTTATTGGTAACTTTGAAGAGGCATCTCACTTGTTTTAATGCTACAGTTTATTGCCACATCATTCACCAGCCATAGTTGTCAGAGTGTTTAGGGTTCAGGCTTACTTTTATCTGCACAATTTTAATTTCGTCAGATCCTAGGTCAGCAAGAGACTTCCTTGTCTGGCCCCTTCGGTGTCCAAATTTACACTTATTTCTCATTACTTGTTCATCGTCTTCTATGGGTCTTCGAACATATTTAAAGCGATCTTTGAGGGCTCGTTTCCATAAAAACTGTGTAAAATAACAAAGCAGGCCAATCAGTCCTTAAAGAGCATTGCATAATCCTACAGAACAACACAACTTTTGTATGTCACCCTGAGGACTGAAGTTGTTTTCATTTTATTATCATAATAGAAGCCACAAATCTATCCTTATCCTGACAACAATTTTGTGATGTTGCTGTTCAAATTATAATCCCCCAATTAGAGCTAAGGAAACAAAGCAAGCAAACATACGTACTTCATTTCCTTGTGAGCAAATGGAACCACTGGAATAACGTTAGTCCAAGATCTGGCATTCAGCTATTGCCATTCCTGGTTTCATGGCTCAAGTTCCAGCATACCTAGATCTTCAGAAAGCTCTTTAGCCTAGGTTGGGAAGATTTGGATTTTGGTACTAAATCTAGTATGTACTGATCAAGTAACTTTCCATAAGTAACCCTTTAGTCTATGTTCCTCCGCTACCAAATGGAACAGCATGATCTTTCCTGCCCAATGCACTATGTGTAAGCAGGTACCTATGCAGGGGTGCATTCCATGCATGTGTATGCATAAGGAAGGAAGCCAGAGGTCACTGTTGGGTGTAATTTTTCAGGATCCACCCACCTTGGTCTCTCACTGGCCTGGGGCCTGATGATTAGCCTGGGCTGGCTGACTAGTTAGCTTCAGCGATTTGTTTCTCTCCACTTTCCCAGTGCTGGGATTATAAGCGTGTGTGTGCATCACTATGCTTTTGGTGTGAGTGTTGGCTACCACACTTGAGTCCCATGCTTACGTGGCAAGCACTTGAGAGAGAGAGAGAGAGAGAGAGAGAGAGAGAGAGAGAGAGAGAGAGAGAGAGAGAGAGAATTCCTAAACTGTGTTTTTAAGAGAATCTTGGTGATGCCAGATGGTGGTGGTGCACACTTTGATCCCAATACTCAGGAGGCAGAGGCAGGCAGATCTTGAGGCCAGCCTGGTCTACAGAGTGAGTTCCAGGACAGCCAGGGCTATACAGAGAAATCCTTTCTTTAAAAATCAGAGAGAGAGAGAGAGAGAGAGAGAGAGAGAGAGAGAGAGAGAGAGAGAGAGAGAGAATCTTGTGAATAGTGACTTGTGGAAGATATTTATAAAGTGCTATTCATAAAGCACCTTGACAGTTCCAAAGTCCTGGTGAGGCGTTCTGTAGGCTCAGTAGGAGGCTGGTTTGTGCTTTGATTAAGCCCCTGGGTATGTGTGAGTCAGAGATGCTCCATCACCTCCCACAGGCTTATATGTTCTGCCATTGTTTTACAACAGCACAAAACTAATAGATGGCTTGTGCTTTTTTCTCAGTCCTGAAATATAAACAAGCTCAAATATATTTGTCTCTGTGTTTCCTACAGCTCAGAAAGGACTCTAGCTGTGCTGAACCCAGTAGAAGCTATTATAGCCATCAGTTGCTAGGGTATCATTCCATGAACAAGTTCTTGTGACTCTCTTCCCGAGTATCTCAAATGGGAAAGGACCAATTAAATATGATCATCCATGTGAGTGTTCACTCTATGAGTGTTGATTGAGCACCTGCTATATGATTGAGCACATATGTATTGTGAGTTATTCACTTAACAGTATGAGGTAGATAGACTCAGTGGGAGATATTTGAGCTGTGGACTTATCATCCCTCCTTCCCCATATTCTCCAGCTAAAGAAGATGTGAAGAGTCCTACACAAGAGCAGCTTTCCTAATCATTCTGAAGCTAGGTGCGTCTTGTGACGTGCGAGGCAATCTGCAGCCCCGGGCGGGTGCATTACCCCATGTTGCAAACCCAAATTTAATCATTAAGAAACATTCGGATAAGTGAAGCATGTGCATCACCTTAAATGACATATGGGGAAAAAAACAACAACTTGCCTGCTCCGGAAGTCCAGTCGAAGAGAGGGAGAGGGATTCTATGAGCAAGGAGGGTCAAGATTGTGATGGGGGAAATCTACAGAGACAACTGAACTAAGCTCATAGGAACTCTGAACTTTAGACCGACAGTGGTGGATCCTGCATGGGACCCGACTGTACTAGACCCTCAGCATACGGGAGACAGTTGTGTAGCTGGGTCTGTTTGAGGGGCCCCCGGCAGTGTGATCAGGATCTATCCCTGATGGCTTTCTGGAACCCATTGCCTGTGGTCCGATAACTTGCTCACTCTTGATGCATCAGGGACGAGCTTGGTCCTGCCTCAACTGAATGTACCAAGCTTAGCTGTCCCCCCACAGGAGGACTTACCCTTTTGGAGGAGGGGATGAAGAGGTAGGTCCAGAGAGAAGGCCGGGGTGTGGGGATCGGGAGGAGGGATGAGAGGGGCATCTATGGTTGGTATGTAAAATGAATAAAAAACAAAACAACTTGACTAGAAAGTAAATATCAGGGAAAACAAACAAACAAAAAGACAAAGAGACTAAATTAGAAAAAAAAACAGAAACAGAAGAATCAGATGCAATCCATAATACGGATTATATGGGACATCATGCAACTATTATTCGTTTTCATAGGCATAAAAACAGTATTGTTGCTATAGAGGAAACTGTCATTATCTGTCTATGCTGAAAGGTCTGTGGCTGCGGCTCTGTGGTAGAGCACTTGCCTAAAATGTAAGAAGCACTGAGTTCAATCCCCAGTACAGCAAAAATAATGCAATAAACAGCAAAAAGATATTTAGAGATGTCACCAGTAACTTCTAAACGATCACGTAACACCAACAACGCTCGGGATGAAGGTAGATGCCGCAATGGCCAGTGAACGTGGACTAGCAGCTCTTCACCAGCCTGCTGATGCTGCTCCCTCTCTTCCCCAGAAGACATCTCATGTGTTAGAGGACATGTGTTGTGATTGCCGTGGAAAAGGCACTACACACACGTGGTGGGTGTCAAGGGTCCTGCTCACTGTCCCACGATGCTCAGGATGACCCTCACTACAGAGAACTAGTAATTATCCTATACCAAGTATAACCATGTGAAGAGAAATCTTGATCTTGAAAGGCCTATGGTAAGCCACTGTGTAGATTTGAAAATTTACAAGATAAAGAGTTTAAAATATAAATCATCCCTGAAAGTGACCAAGTATTCTCTCTTCCTCTTTTTCCTTCCTCTGTCTCTCTTTTTACACACACACACACACACACACACACACACACACACACACACACACACACACACTATACCCCTCTCAATATTCTTAGGCATTTCCTACACCATGCAATCTAGCATGAGGACCACAGCCTCATATACAGATGTGATGAGAAGCTGGGCAAATACCTATCCATGCACCAGACTCCACCTATACTCTTCAACTATACAAATGAGGCCACAACCTGCTAAGCCATATTCCATGGCTCTCTATTATCTTTGCATAATATGTGGGAACGTGTACATCACATGCCCACAGGAGTCCAGGAGACATTATTCATTACTTTGTAAGTATCTCACTTCAATAACCATAAGAGTAAAGGTCAAAATGTAACTGGCAGGCAGGAGAGATGACTTACTGAGTAAAGGCACTAGCTCCCAAGTCTGATGACCTGCATTTGATTACTGGGACCCACACAATGGAAAGAGAGAACTGACTCCCACAAACTGTCCTCTGCATCCATCCACATGACACACACACACACACACACACACACACACACACACACACACACACACGGAGAGAGGGAGAGAAAGAGAGAGGGGGGAGAGAGAATTTAAAAAAAATTACAGATATTTATTTGCTTATATATAGGTAAGACTCTCTGGAAAGACTCCCCATTAATTTCCAGTATCTCTGTGCTACCTGGAATATATAATACAATGCAAATGTCAGGTAAGAGTTGTATTGCTTGGGGGACAATGAAAGGAAAGCAATCTGTTCAAGTTCAGTAGAAATGTACCACCCTGGTCTTAACTACACAGCACAGTATCAGAGATTGATTGAAGCTGAGGGTGTGGGATTTACAGAGACAGAGAAGTGCCTGTCACTGATCAGATGACCAGTGTTATATTGTATTTTGAATGGAGAAGGTGGGTTAGTGTTTCCTGTGTTCTCATGACTGGAGCTGTCAGAAACCCAGATTTTTGTTATTGCTTGGCTTACACTATTTTGTTTTTAGTAAGAGAAACATCAAGTTCTTTTGTAGCATGCTTTATATACAGAAACACATTTTTTAAAAGGACATCATCCTTTGTTAGCAAGAGTCTTGACGAGCTGCTATTTCCAGGCATGGGATACCACAACTTTTCTGAGTTTGGAGGGTAAAAGAGAGCCCTTAAGGCTTTCTATCATTCAGCATCTTCTGATTTTACCTATGTATACTAAGCCCTTACCTGAAGATGGGAAGACGACAGAGAGAAAGGGAAAAGGAAGGAAGAAAAGTAAAAAGAGAGAAGGATGGAGGTGGGAGGGACAGAGGGAAAATTCCTTCCCTGCATGTAGTTGAGAAGATGAGATATAGAAGCACATCTGTCATCTTAGCTGTGTTTACCAAAGTGGATTTATAAAAAGGTGGATACCACAGTGGGTTCATGTAAAGACAGATACCAAAGTGGATTCCTGTAAAGACAGATACCAAATTGGATTCATGTAAAGATAGATACCAAAGTGGATTAATATAATGACAGATACCAAAGTGAATTCATATAAATATAGATACCAAAGTGAATTCATATGAAGATAGATACCAAAGTGGATTCATATAAAGATAGATACCGAAGTGATTTCATATAAAGATAGATACCAAAGTGAATTCCTATAAAGACAGATACGGGAATAGCAGCGTATCTTCAGGTACACATACCTATAGTTTCTCACCACTGTTTCTTAAATCATACCTTTCCTGTCAAGAATGTTCAACTTTTTGTTAGAATTTTAAAGTATTTCTTAAGTTTATCATTCAGTAATGCTAAAAATATTTCCACTGTTACAGTGAAGACATGAAGATGTTCTTCTTGTTTCATGTGAAACAGCATCTCATGTAGCCCAGACTAGCTTTCAAGCTCCTGATCCTCCTGCCCCAATCTGCCTAATGGTATGCCAATTCCTAAGCATGCTTGAGCACTGGTTCTCAACCCTTGATATCCATCACAGCCTTTGGAATCTTTCTGGAATCCTTTGAAAGCCTTGGTGGCAGAATCTGTCCTCACATCATTTAAATCAGAATCTCTGGAGGACAAACACCATGAAACTGTTTCTTAGAGCATCCTTAGAGTCTACCTAATCCAGACAGCAGAGATGTGAGAGGGTGGATGAGGTAGGGGGACAAGACCTCAAAGCCAGACAACTTCCCCTTTGATTAGATCAGAAAGCAAGAAACACTCCATCAACTGCAGCTCTGATGAAGCCATGTCCTCCTTCTGGGTATTCACAGGAGCTCTGAGTTACACAGGAGCTCCTGGATGGTGTTAGGAGAGGGACAGAAAGACGGTGACTTCCAGCTGAAGACAAGATACATGGGACAGAGACAGAGATGAATCACAGAGGGAGTGGGAGAGAGAGAGAGAGAGAGAGAGAGAGAGAGAGAGAGAGAGAGAGAGAGAGAGAGAGAGAGAGAGAGAGAGACAGAGAGAGAGAGACAGAGACAGAGAGACAGAGAGACAGAGAGAGAGACAGAGAGAGAATATGAACACCAAACTTGCCAATATGGACAGAGGAAAGACCACAATGCTTCAACACTACAAAAAGAACTATAGGCAACTAAGATTGGGAAAAACAGTCTTCCCTAGGAAAGAACACACCAATTCATTATCCAATACCAAATGATAAGCCCTAAAAACATATACCCAGCAGACTAAGCAGGATATATATATATATGAATGTAACAATAAAAAGGTTATGAATTTGAAAGAATGAGGAGGGTATATGAAAAGGATTGGAGAAAAGAAAGGAAAGGTGTGGAATATTCCTTTACACTGTATGAATATATGTCTCTGTAATTGGCTTAATAAAGAAGCTGACTGGCCAATAGCTGGACAGGATAAAGTCAGGCAGGAGAGCCCAAACTGAGAATGATAGGAAGAAGGGTGGAGTCAGTGGAGTCTCAAGCAGACACAGAAGAAGCAAGATGGGCATATTGTGCTGAGCAAAGATACCAAGCCACGTGGCAAGGCATAGATAAGAAATATGGGTTAATTTAAAATGTAAGAATTAGAGCCGGGCGGTGGTGGCGCATGCCTTTAATCCCAGCACTTGGGAGGCAGAGCCAGGTGGATCTCTGTGAGTTCGAGGCCAGCCTGGGCTACCAAGTGAGTTCCAGGAGAGGCACAAAGCTACACAGAGAAACCCTGTCTCGAAAAACCAAAAAAAAAAAAAAAAAAAAGTAAGAATTAGCTAGTAACAAGCATGAGCTATTGGCCAAGCATTTATAATTAATAATAATTAATATTGGGGGCTGGAGAGATGGCTCAGAGGTTAAGAGCACTGCTTGCTCTTCCAAAGGTCCTGAGTTCAATTCCCAGCAACCACATGGTGGCTCACAACTATCTGTAATGAGATCTGGGGCCCTCTTCTGGCCTGCAGGGATATGTGCAGAAGGAACACTGTATACATAATAAATAAATAAATTCCCCCCCCAAAAAAAAGAAAACTTGTAAAAAAAATTAATATTAAGCCTCTGAGTGGTTACTAGCTTGTGGGACAGAAACTTCTGCCAACAGAAAGGGATAAATGGCGTAATTATATTATATTCTTTTTTTTTTTTTTTTTTTTTTTGGTTTTTTTTGAGACAGGGTTTTTCTGTGTAGCTTTGCGCCTTTCCTGGAGCTCACTTGGTAGCCCAGGCTGGCCTCGAACTCACAGAGATCCGCCTGCCTCTGCCTCCCGAGTGCTGGGATTAAAGGCGTGCGCCACCACGCCCGGCTCTCCCCCCCTTTTTTTTTATTATTATATTCTTAAAGTAAAAGAAAAATCAAGAAAATGGAAAAAAAAATACCAGAGCCAGAGTGGAAAATGCAAAGCTCTTACTTCAAATGGACTAAGATGGACAGGGTGGTGGGGCCACGCAGTCACTTACAAAGCCACAGCCGTCCTCATCCAGGAAAGGGTGGGCCTGCAGCAGGGCATTGATCACATCATTGTACTGCTGGGTGGTGGGGTACCTGTTCACAACAGATAAGATGGAGTTCATGTCTAGCAGCCCCCAATTCAGGTGAGTATAAAGAACACAGGTTTCTTCTAAACTTTCTCTTGCTGTGGTGTCTGTCTCTCTCTCTGCGTGCGTGCGTGCGTGCGTGTGTGTGTGTTTAGGTATGGAGGAATCTTTAGGTATGGAGGCCTGAAGTTAACCTTGCTCCCCTGCACAGTTGACCTTGTTTGCTGAGACAGGGTCCCTCATGGCAAACTGAGCCCACTGATGGTTTAGACAAGCCTGGCTGGCCTATCAAGTACCAGGTACCTATCTGTCTATTACCCGACCCTCCCTGTGCAGAGCTATAGTCACAAGCGTGTGCTGTCATGCCTAGATTTTGTTTGTTTGTTTGTTTGTTTTGTTTTGTTTTTCAAGACAGGGTTTCCCTGTGTAACTTTGCGCCTTTCCTGGAACTCACTTGGTAGCCCAGGCTGGCCTCAAACTCTCAGAGATCCATCTGGCTCTGCCTCCCGAGTGCTAGGATTAAAGGCATGCGCCACCACCGCTCGGCATGCCTAGATTTTTATATGGGTGTTGGGGGCTATGCAGCAGGCACTGAATCAATTTAGACAATGACCACAGCCCCTGTTCTAAATCTGCATGTTAAATTTTTATTCATTGTGTCATCCATAAACCATGGAGACTTGGTTCTCCACAAATTCTACTCTCCTTTGAGCACAGATCACGTCCTCACTGTTAACTACTCACAGCGAGCCTTCCAGGTACTTTGTCATATCTGCCTGGAGAAACTCAATGATCCTTATCCTCATGCTGTGATCAGGGCACCTCTGCTCCGCCAGCATGCACTTGACATCATAGGGAAACTCCGGTAGGACATAGGACTTAGTCCATTGTAATGCTTTATGCCTTGCTAGAACGTGCTTTACATTTCTTCTGTGGAATAAAAAAACACCAAGAGTAAAATTCTGTGTTGAATCTACGAAATATATCAGTTCACCACACTCTGAAAACCTTGGGTATAAACCACCTCCTGGCACCTAAATATACCATATACACATAATCACATGGGTTTGAGAGTTAATCTTGACGCTGGAAAATATTACTCCATATGTCTTGAAGGGACAAGTTGTAATACATATCTCAAAATTGAACAAAATATTTAATAGACAGAAGTGATAAATTGCAATTCTGCCAAGCAAGCGAAGCCACACTAAATCAGTTTTAGTACCTTGTTAAGAAAACTCTTTTCATCTACTCTGTTGTTGTTTGTGACAAAATCCAAGATGCACCTGAGTTGGTCCTTGGCTATTTCAGTAAGAAAAATACACTATACGCTATACATGTGGTCTCTACACTAAAATAAGATTCAGTGTTCTTAGTCCAGTGTAGCTGGAGTTTTCTCCAATCCTGCCTGGCCCACAGTCAGGACAAATCTCTCTCACCCGCCAGTCCCGCAGCCGCTCAGACCCAACCAAGTAAACACCCAAAGACTTTTGGCTGATTAAGCATTTGGCTGGTTAAGCATTTGGCCTGGTTAAGCATTCAGGCTTTTGAGCAGCAGTTCAGCTGAGACTCATTCTGGATGAGGACTCAGAGGCCTCCAGTCTGAGGAAACAAGACCAGCTGAGGATCCGGCGAGGTGAGGTAGCTATGGCTTGTTCTGTATCTCTGATCTTCCAGCTTCACCCCAATACCTGGCTCACAGGTTTGATTTTATTAATAAGAACTTTTAAGATCCATGCTACATCTGGTTGGGTCTGAGCGGCTGCGGAATTGGCGGGTGAGAGAGATTTGTCCTGACTGTGGGCCAGGCAGGACTGGAGAAAACTTCAGCTACAGTCCAGTGCCAAGATCCTTGAGTCTATGGAAGGTGACAGGAAAGGAGAACTTTAAAGTCAATCTGCTGCTGCCTAAGGCTACAGGCAGCCCAGTGGATTGTGTTGATGACTGGACAAACTTTTTCTAAACATAAATTTACTAAAATTAACTGCCTGTACATTTGAAATTGGTGGAGTATCTGCCATGTAATTTAAGCATTGATAAGATTGTTTATAAAATTGAGCTTCAGAAGCACACTAACACCTCGAATCAGAGGCCAGTCCTTATGTATACACAAAGAAGGCTTCAAAGTAACTCTTAGAAACCACGTTAATCAATGGCAGTAGGCAGATGTCAAGCTAGTTCACTCACAGGACTGAGTAGGATGGGAGGGAAGAGACAGTGGCCAGCCAAGTACAAGTCAACAGAGAGGTTTCTTAAACTAGTCTAGAGAAGTTAATTCTCTGATCACAGTTGAGGTTAGTTGTTCAAATACAATTTGGGTGCGTTATCAAAAGCCAGCCTTCCCTTAACATTGTAAGCCATCCCTGATCAGAATGCATGTGCTGTCATGGAAGGTGGGGACTTGGGAAGCAGAGGGCATTTTTTTATCTCTTTGTATGGTAAGCTTCCTCACATATTCCCCCTTTGACACTCACTGTAGCCGTGGTGAAAAATGTGGTGATAATAGACACACCAATAATTTCATACTGGACTTAATACAGCAACAGGCAACCTTCAACTTCTCACTTCTAGGTCAGGGCTCTTTGAAAAGCCTACTACCACAAATGCAGCTCTGTTTTCACTCCTGGATATAAAATAAACCTCCAAGCCACTTAAAATATGTTAATGGGAACCCCAGTCTGAGAACATAGCACTTGCTAACTGCTCAGTTCATACAGAATAAAAATATATATTCATAATAAAATTTATAATAAAGTGAGCTATTTGACAAATGACAGTATCATTATAACAGTTTCAAAATTGTTTCAGATACTGATGAATGATAATTATATATATTGATGAGATTAAAGTGATACTGTGGTATAACTATCATATATTTATACAATGTAGAATTATTGAGTCAAGCAGATTAACCTATCCATCATTCCCAATTCTCATCAGTAATATCACCTGCCCAACTGAAACATTATATTTTTAAATTGTGCACTAATTTTTTTAAAGGATGAGGTGGGAGTTCTCATAAAAGGCTCATTGATTTTCTAACTTTGTCTAAGTGTAATAAGAATGAAAAATCATTCTGCTCATTCCAAGAGCAGTCTAACTGTAGTTTAATGGGGTTCACATAGGGTAATAATGCTATTTCTGTGAGGAACAAGTCCAGTGGAGTATCAGCCTGCTAAGGAAAAGCTTACACAGAAAATGTTGTTGAGCATCTGTAGGAAGCAGAGAGACCTAGCTGTCACACGAGGGCAGGAACTTTCTGGCATAGTGTGGATACCATTGCTTAGCAAGGTTAATGCATGATGTTTTTCTTAAAAGAATGAGAAAAGTGAGTGGAAAGAATTTGCATCCGACTCCCCACTGAAACTCCAAACGATGCCTCCAAGCACGCCTCATGCCTTTCTTTAAATCCTTTTACTTTAATCTCTTCTCAATCAAGTTTCCCTTCTTTTTTGATGGTGTATTCTTATTTATGTGTATATGTGAGTATATGCCACATGTGTGGATACCCAAGGAGGCTGTGAGAAGGTTTCATACTCTCTGGAACTGTTCACTCAACGTGTAAGTTGTGAACTTCTCAGTGGAGGTATTGGGAGCAGCAAGTGCTGTTAACTGCTGAGCCATTTCTCTATCTCCCAGAATTCTCTTTTCCATGCTCTAACCCATATTGCCAACAATTTTACACTGTTTACCTCCCATTCAACCCATCTGAAATAGTTTATCATCTTTAAAAAAAGATACTAGATTGTTGTTGGTTGTTTTTTTGCTCTTAACTCTTTTGCTCTTTTGGGGTGCCCACTGCTTGGCTCCCAAATAAATTACATGGAGTCTTTTTCTTACTTATAAATGCCCAGCCTTAGCTTGGCTTGTTTCTAGCCACCTTTTCTTAAATTATCCCATCTATCTTTTGCCTCTGGGCTTTTATCTTTCTCTATTTTTGTATACTTTTCTTCTTACTGTGTTGCTTGCTGTATAGCTAGGTGGCTGGCCCCTGGAGCCTTCCTTTCCTCCTCTTTCTTGATCCTTGATCTCCTCTTCCCAGATTTATCCTCCTTTTTATTCTCTCTGCCTGCCAACCCCACCTATCCTTTCTCCTGCCTCGCTACTGGCCATTCAGTTCTTTATTAGACCAATCAGGTGGTTTAGACAGGCAAAGTAATACAGCTTCGAAGAGGTTAAACAAATGCAACATAAAAGAATGTGACACATCTTTGCATCATTAAACAAATGTTCCACAATATAAATAAATGTAGCACATCTTAAAATAATATTCTACAACACCAGATTCTCATTTGTGTCTCCCTCCTCCCAAGATTCCATACTGAAACTCTAACCTGTATATGATATGACTGTGTTTGGGGACAGGCTCTATGCAAGTAACTTGAGCTAGATGAGGTAAAGGAGGTTGACTGAGACGTAGCATCCTTTTATGAAGAGACACCAGAAGTGCACCTGCTTTTTAGGATCATGTGAGGATGTAGAGAGAAGGTGGCTCTCTTAGTTAAGGTGACTGTTGTTGTGATGAAACTCTGTGATCAAAGCAACCTGGGGAGGGAAGGGTTTATTTGGCTTACATACCCAGAATCAGGCAAGGTCCACTGAGGGAAGCCAGGTCAGGAACTCAAACCAGACAGGAACCTGGAGGCAGGAGCTGATACAGAGGCTATGGAAGAGTGCTGCTTGCTGGCTTACTCCTCATGGCTTGCTCAGCCTGCCTTCTTATAGAACCCAGGACCACCAGCCCAGGGGTGACCCCACCAAAAATGGGTTGGGCCTTCCCACATCCATCACCAATTAAGAAAACAAGCTACAGACTTGTCTGCTAACAGCCTGAGCTTCTGGAGGCATTTTCTCAATTGAGGTTCCCTCTTCTCAGATGTCTATAGCTTATGTCAAGTTGACATAGAACTAGTGAGGACAGGGGCCAGCCATCTGCAGGGCAGGAAGTAGGCTCTTATCAGAGAATGAACTGGTCACCATTGTGACCTTAAACTTGAGACTCTCAAATCAGAATGTAAATTTGTACTGTGCAAGCTACTCAGCCTGTGATGATAATGGCTAACACAGTGTCCGATTTCCTGGTGGCCTTTACCATGTATCTTCCGCTTAGCAAGTCGAGCCTTGACATCTTTCATCTTCGACCCTCACCCTCCCTCGGGTGTCACGAAAACTTCCTACACTGTATCTCTTGTATCATCTATGTCTCCCAATGATTTATGCTCCCACATTAAGCTGGGGTTTGACCATACAACTTCGAGTGTCTTGTTAGCAGAGTTCTGCTTTTATAATAGCAAGCTATGAGACTTACAAAAGGTCTGGAGCACACTGCCCCAATGTAAGCAGCTTAGCCCCTCACTCCCTCTCCTCAGCTGGGTATTCATGGCTACTCCTGTAGCCCTACTGTGCACTTCCTCGGCTGAAACACCGACACTGCCTGCTCCAGCACCTCATGTGGGTTTGCAACTGTTCTCGCCCATTTTGGTTTCTTTATTGTGTAACAGAACTCTTTGCAAATCAGGACTTTTAAAGTTATTCTTTGGGGTTTTTTGTTTGTTTGTTTTGTTGTTGTTGTTTTCTAGGTCCACAGGGAACATCACACTGAGAGTTGAGGAAGCCTTTACCACCCACTAAAGCGCAGGGCCCTGGGTTGTGAGAGGTTGTAACAAAAGCCTGAAAAGTAATAATTGTGACTTTTGTGACCTCCCAGCTCATCTTACAGGGACTCAGAGCTCTCTCTCTCTCTCTCTCTCTCTCTCTCTCTCTCTCTCTCTCTCTCTCTCTCTCTCTCTGTATGTGAGAGAGAGAGTATGTGTGTGTGTGTGTCTGTGTGTCTGTGTGTTAGTGTGTGTGTGAGTGTGTGTGTCTTCTGACTGTTTTCCCATTCTTTCAATAAACATTGCTGTAGGAAAGGAAGAGACAGAGAGAAGCCT